AGCAATGGGGAGCAAGTCAATAAGCAGCGATGCTCCACAAGCCTCTGCCTCCAGGTTCCTGCCCTGCTTGAGTTCCTGCCCTGACTTCCTTCAGTGATGAACTATGTGGAAACATAAGCTAACCTTTCCTCCCAACTTGCTTTTGCAAAGAAGCAGGGACCAAAACCCTCTCTGACATTCCCAGAACGGCTGCTTTGGGATGGGGGCCCCACCTGACCAGTTCCTATCTCCTGTTCTCTGTCCACTCACACAGATGGCACTGACTCTGGTCATATTTCTACTGAACAGCTGATAAGGTGAGAATCTGAAGTCACCTTTCAATCACATCTCTGCACTATGCCCACACACCCACAGTGTGGGAGACAAGGCTACAGACAGGTAAGCTGCAAGTGAAAGAGCTAACCAGAACATCTTCTCCATTAGCACAGCCCTGCCTGCAACAACAGATGTCTACATTCCCAACCAAAAGGCAGGTGACTAGAGAGGAGAGCATGCCATCCCCACCCTCATGGGCCAAGAGATACTATAAACTGTGGCCATTCCCCTAGGAAAAGGCTTTCCCACTTCTGATTTGTCATGCTATGCTTACAAAGATCAAAAGCAAGAGAACACAAACCCACAGCCAGCCATGTGCCAGAAGTCCAGGACTTAAGCCACAAGCAGAGCAGAGCGCTGATGAGAAAGAAGCCGGTGCTTAAGGCGTGTCAGCAGCTGGCTTGGCTGCAGCAACCCCAGACTTAGGAATGTAAGGTAAGTAAAGTCCCAGACCTCTGCACTTGAGTCCCTCTTAAAATAAACAAAGCAAACTCCTGCTGAGTTACAGACTCCAAGAAATGAGAGTATCTGTAACTGCTCATTGTGGAAGTGAGGGAAAGAAAACCCTAGGGAATGTCTTATGTGCCAATCCCTGCTCTGAAATACAAAGACAACTTTAACCAGATACAGAAAAGACTCCTGAGAAATGTGGCAGGGAGGCTGGGTGAGCCTTTTGCTCCAAACATCTGGGCCAGAACTCAGGCCCAGGACATTGTGGCTTATACTGACCTGCCATCTCACTTGAAGCTCATGAGACAGTGGTTGCTCCTGAGCCAAAAGGGGTGCAGGCATTTTTCTCCCAACTTCAGATGCCTTCAGAGGTTGTGTAACTGGCCTGACATGGATGAAGACATTTGAAGGGGGTGCCCCTCCCATTAGCTATCAGATTCCCCCAGGACACTAGAATTACCCAGAAGTCTCAAGCTGGAAAAACAGAATGCCTGGGCCAACCAGAGAAGAAACTTGTCTACCAGAAGGAGATGTACAGTCTATCAGATGACCTACAGAAGACACATGGATAGATCAATGGTGGGCAGGGCCACACATTGCCAGGACTGCTTTGGCATACATAACTGTCTCTGAAGTTAAACTGTCACCTCACTTTAGGATCCAGAAGAAAATTGTGGGGGTGAGGGGACATCAATGGACTTCTTTGTCCCTCCCCCCAGTATGATCAAGGTGAGTAGATCTTCTATTTCTACTTTTCACTATTAAGTTAGCTATTTTAATTGCTTTATTGAGGGCAGATGCTAAACACGGCTTATTGGAGCACAGGCTGTGGCCTAAATCTGGAACAGTTGGCTGTCGGGATTCCTTCACCTCATTCTAACATTAAGAAAAACACTGTAGACTTAGTGTGGTACACACCTATTGTTGGTAAACTGAGAACCACGCACATTCCAGAACCAGATGCTCACCCAGCCCACCTTCAGCCACTCAGTGCCAGAAGCCACTTCATCACTAGTGACCAAATGTGACATATTTCCACTGTTGCCATGAGTCTAGCGCCCTTTATAAAGCCTGCACCTTCACAGCACGCCCTCTCTTTCCCATCCTCTCTCAGAGGTGGCCTTTCACACCCAATAAATATCTTTTATGAGGTCTATCATGTGTTGTGATCTTTGCAGCATTCCTTAGCCCTCCAATCACCCAGAGGCAGAGGCAACAGATCTCTGTGAGTTGAAGGTCAGCCTGGTCTACACAAGTTCTAAGCTAGCTAGGGCTGCACAGCAAGTTCAGGGCCAGCCAGGACTACACAGTAAGACCCTGTCACAAAAACCAGAAAACAAAAGAAAGACACTGCAATTACAATCCAGGACATGCCCAATATGGGTTAGATCTGGAAGGTGTCCTCCCAGTCTCCAAATGTCACATATATTAACATTTCAACAATAATTGGATCCTGTTGCACATACTGTCTCATAATCTGCTTAATTTCATAATTTCCCATGGCAAAAAGCTACACCCAATTTACTTATGACTGATTTAATGACCTCTGACTTGCATTAATAATATTTAAACAATGCCAACTGGCAATGGTGGCACACACCTTCAATCCCATTGCTGGGGAGGCAGAGGCACGAGGATCTCTGTGAATTTTAGACCTATAGAGGACCTATGGTTGCACATTTAAGTCAGTCTTGCATTTTTTACTATCCTAATGCTATATGAGTATTTTTGAATATACTGTTTTCTCACATGTGTGATTTTATAATACTCAGGATAGATTCCCAGAAGTGCTGTTCAAAGATGTAGGCCCAGAAGTTTGACTGGTTACAAAATCACTCTGTAGAGGGGTTACCCTGACCCAGCCTCCTTTAAAGGCCTAACACTGACTCTAAGAGCCAAAAGCCTGAACACCAGAAATAGAGGCGGCTCCTTCTCCCACTTTGATTTCATCATCTGGCGGCTTTAATTTTTTTCTTTACCTCATTCATCCATAAAGGAAATAAAATGGAGTTAAAGTCTCTGGTGGCCCTGACAGGTTCTTGGGTTCCTCTGGGGACTGCTGAGCCAGTGCACACGTTCATGTGGACATAGGCATGCATACAGATGTTGTACATGTGGGTGGGGGAGCAACTCCTGGCTGGAAGGATTGCAAGTGCTATCACGCTGTAGGATCTCTTGCCAAGGGGTCTGGTTTAGGAACTGTACTGATCTGCCGTGCCCCTGAACTGACTGAGGAGCCCACATACTGCATCTCACTTGAACCCTACGTCTATTTCCCATTTGCTTGCCTCCTACCACCACTAAGAACTGTGGGGAGTTAAGGAAAGTCTATTGGCGTACATCATAAAACTGTTTACTTTGAGATGAAGCCTAATTAAATTAAATCACCTTTTTTTTTTTTTTTGTAAATCATTTGTTATGGGTGTTTGGAGGACTCCTCAAACAGAATTGACCAAAATCCTGTTTTCTGCTGACATCTAGTGGACCTTAAAAAAATAGCTTACAAACACAAAAGTAAGAGAACAGGTTCATAGGTTGACCACTGACTGACACTGGCATTGCCTAAAATCCTAACACCCTATCACTATAAAGTCAACCCTTGTTTTATAAGCAAAAGGACCTCAGCGTATTTTTTCCTATTTTGTGTGTGTATCTATGTGTACATGTTTGTGTGTGCATACATGTGTGCATGTGCGTGCCAGAGGTCAACCCCAGATATTTTCCTGCACCTTTATATTTTTGTTGCGGCAGGGTCTCTCACTAAAGCCAGACAGCACTGATTCTGCTAGGCTGGCTGACCAGTGAGTTCTACTCTGTCTCTGCCACCCTACCCCTGCCAGTATTAGGTTTACAGGTAAGCACTTCATTGTGTTTTTAGTTCACTAATTAGGGCGAAGGTAAGATTTAATAAGCCACTTTTCTAGATTAGATCAGCATCATATGCACAACATGAATTGTGACATAATAGAGTCAGGAATAATTAATGAAAATAATGGTTTGAAAGAGAGCAAGGAGAGTTATGTGGGAGAGTTTGGAGGGAGGAAAGAAAAGAGAGAAATGATATTATATTAAATATATTAAATTATAATCTCTAAAACTTAAGGAATTAACTTTTAAATAAAAAATAATTAAAAATTGAAAATGCCATGAGTTGTTTTCCATGCACACTCTCTGCTTTCTGCTTGTGAAACAAGGTGTGAGCTCCCAGCTATTACTGTGCCAGGCCTCTATGTAGCCATCATGGACCTTAGTCTTCTGGAACTGTAAACCCGAAATAAATCCTTCCTTCTATAGGTCACTTTGGTCCTGGTGATTTGTTGCAACAATAAAACATTAACTAATACATTGGTTCTATTCTTAACTGTTCTGTAAATAGAAAACAAATTAATCAAAACTCCCAAGACTATTTAAAGCTGCTCCAGTAAATTCTCTGTGAGGATCCTTAGGCGTAAAGCAAAGGCAAATTCATATGGTTGTAAGACAATAAATAATGACGAAAGATTGATACTTGGGTTCAAGCTTCAAACTGAAGATCAAAAAAAGCAAAGCAGGCAGTCACCAGCTCTTACTCTACCTCAGCTGAAAAGGCTGATTCAGTCTCCATGAGTCCTTACCAAGCCTCTGACTGCTGCCTCTCCTTAGTGTGGCTGGAGAATCCTGAGACTTCAGTGTCTTCCTATCTTCAATGTGACTGGAGAATGAATGCCTGATACTGACAACTCAAGACCCTGCTCCTACCTTTCATACTCTCTAGTGCTGGGATCAAAGGCATGTGATCCCAGGTGCTGAGATCATCTTTGTGTGAGTTGTTTCTCTTTAAGACTGGATCAATCTTGTATAGATTTGGGTGGCCTTGAACTCAGACCTGTCTACCTCTTAATCCTGAGTCCTAGGGTTAAAGGTGTGTACCACCACCTCCTAGCTTCTGGCTGCTGGGATTAAAGGAGTGTAACACCACTGCCTGATCTCTATAGTGTGAGGCTGGCTTTGCTTTCTGAATCCTCAGGCAAGCTTTAATAAATCAAAAATAATATATCACCACATATGGTATTGTAACTGTGTACCTCTAACAATTTCATATCATATTAAAGGTTTATCTCATTATAAAATCACTGAATCTCAAGGTTGGAAAAGAACTAAGAGACCAAACAACTCAAGCATACATTCAAGTTTCCGGTTACATTATAATACATATTGAAAGCAATCACGAGTCTGTTACAAAGAGGCTGTTATACCTTAAACTGCTGTTGAGCTCTACCCAGCCAAGTTTCCATGACACATGAAGCAAAAGTCCACCGATGAGTGTCTGCCACCTGGGAAGAACAAATGTCCAGAAGAGTTACCCAGGCCTACAGAGTTCAATGCCAGGACAGGCCTTTTAATGGCCGCTAGTACATACCTCCAACCCTTCTACACCTCTCTTCTCCCATTTTCCCAGCTATCCTCTCATTCCTCAGACATTTTCCCATCTCTATTCCTTTGAGTCCAGCTCTCCAGTAAGTGCTGATATTCTTACTCGCCTCTTCTCCTTCTAGACATTCCCTGAACCTCATCCATAGCCATAGACATGGATGACTTCCAGATCCCTGTTCTCAACTAGATACTTCTACCCTGAAAGTCCACAGACTCCCAATCAGGTTCCATGCAACATGCTATCTTAGACATGCCACAATGCTGGTCATCATCCTACTGCCTTTAATCAGCCAGCTGAGATGTCACCTCAACCCTTCTTCCTAGCCCTTCCTCATACTTCACGTCCCTCGTCTACTTGGCAAAATCTTCACAATTGTATTTATCATCATAACAGCATTCACATCCAAAGCCACTTCTTGTACCCATCCTCAGCGTCCTATAATGACTCCTGAGGGTTGTCCCCCAACATTCATTCTCTACCTTGTAGCAGATTTTTTTCTAAGCTGCTAATTAAATCATGTCACTTTCTTGTTTTAAAAATGGTTTATTCTTCCTCAGCTCTCAGCCCCTTCACAGTTACATACACCCTAGGGTCATGAAGCACCCTAGAGGAACAGAGCTCTTATCAATACAGTTAGGGACAGCTCTCTCCTCCACTGTACAAAGCACATCAAAATGCCAAACGAGCAGGGCATGGTAGGACATCCCTGAAATTCCAATACTTGGAAGACTGAATAATGGCTCTGTGGCTAAGAGTAATCCCTTCTTTCCAGAAGGCCCACGGTCATACCCCAGCACCAATGTTGTGCAACTCATGTCTGCCTGTAACTCCAGTCCCAGGAGACCCAACAGTCTCCTTAATCACTGCACCCACTTACAAAAAAATCACTGCACACACTTTTAAAAAAGTTCAAAGGTGTCTCCTGGAGACGAAAGAGAGGTGACAATTCCAAGGATTCTCTTGAGTAATGTTTCTTATCTTTATTCTGGGGCTCAAGTAATATTCAGCTTTCTAGTGGTACTACAAGTGCAGCGAATTCCCATTGATCCCTTTAAAGTGCACTGATAAAGGAGCCACTGTTTGTGAAGCCGCTAAAGTGTCTATAAGATCGGTGGTGGGTCCACGGCTCCCTCATCCCTCATGCAGCTAACCTCTTCCTGACGGTGTTTAGTGCTATCCCTTCTATTTTCCACTGACACCATTATCGTGGCCATGTCATATCCATGTCCAGGGGTCACATCTGACAGCAATCTGACCTCTTAGGACAATCTCAATGTTTAGTTTATCCACTTTTATATTCTAGACGACTCGTTCATACATTTTAAGAGCCTATTTTTTAGTCACAAATGACATGAGACACCTCACCTCAGAAATGGCTATGTGCTATGATATTATACTGAGATCACCTGGCCTCCAGAACAAAGTCCCTCATGTGTGACTCAAAGCCCTCTTGACTTGGGCCAGGCTCTCCCCAGGAGAAGTTCTATCTCCCTGCCTTGAGGATTCCCAAGGCACACAGCCTGCAACCTCCAAATGTGCTAGGCCATTTTCCACTTCTTGGAATTTGTGGGTACTACCCCATTATCCATGATAACCCTCCATTTCCTCATGCACTAGGAGACAACTGGTGAGTAGTAAGAACTACTGTTTCCCTGCCCCGCCAAGAACAGAACAACCAGTCCATGCCATGAGTCAGACTGATCTAGAGCAGAGGTCTGAACCTGGTCAGTTCTTCCCAGAGACGTAGTAGTTTCTCTGTGTACCCTGGTTCTACTGAAACTCACTCTGTAGACCAGCCCACAGAGCTCCATCTGCCTTTGCCTCTGCCTCTGCCTCTGCCTCCTGAGTGCTGGGATTAAAGGCCTGTGCCATCACCTCCAGGCTTGCATATGTGTGTGTGTGTGTGTGTGTGTGTGTGTGTGTGTGTGTGTGCACCAAAGGGGACCAACCAGAAGAAGGCATCAGGTTCCCTGGATCTGAAGCTACAAACAGTCTTAAGTTGCCTGATATGGTACTGGGAGCTAAATTCTAGTCCTTGAAAGCCAGCTTCTCTAGCCCTATTATTTATATCCAAAAAAAAAAAAAAAAAGTACTAAAATAGGATCCCAGGTACTGGGAAGGCTGAGGCAAGAAGATCACAAGTTCAAAGCCTGCCTGGACTACAGAGTGAGTTTAAAGCCAGCCTGAGTAACTTAGCAAAGCTTTGTCTTAAAAAGGAAATTTTAAGGGCTGGTGATACAGCTAGGTAGTAGAGAACATTTCTAGCTTGTGTGGATCCTAGGCCCAATCCCCTGTACCAAAAACAGCACACACCAAATTAATAAGAAAACTGCTACAATCTCAGTAAACATAAGTGGGTAAAAGGCACAAATAGAAAACTCACTGAAAACAAATAATAAACACAAGGAAACTATCTGACCTTATGAATATATTAAATTATGAACAAAAATGTTATTTGTTAATGGTAGTTGGAGAAAGGAAAAATATGAATCATAGTTTGGATGTGGTATTATAGAAATTTTCATATGTATGTAGGGTTAAAGGTAAACTGGGGTGGAGAGATTGCTCAGTGGTTAGGAGCACTAGCTATTTTCCTGGGGTTCAATTCCCAGAACCGACATGGCAGCTCTCAATGGGCTCTAACTCTAGGTCCAAGAGATCCGATGCCTTCTTCGAACTCTGAGGGGCAACAAGTATATACATAGTATATACACATACATATATTCATTCACATAAATCTTAAAAAAAAGAAATTGGTAAAATATTCTCAAAAATGATTTATTGCCAAGAATAGTGACCCACATCTTTAATATCAGCACTTGAGAGGCAGTGGCAGGCAAACTGTGTGAGTTTGTGCTAGCATGTTCTACATAGTGAGTTCTAGGACAGCAAGCCAGAACTAGGTAGAGAGACTCTGTCTCAAATAAATAATAAAGAAAAATAAAGCTAAAGAAGTTCTTTTATCAAGTTTCTTAGGTGGAAATATCCAAGAAGTCATTCCTAGTTTGATAGGCTCAAATACAAAAATGTCTGAGGTTTTATGCTTCCTAAGTGGGACAAGTCACTTCTTGTTAAGTCAGGGATTGGTATCTGAGTTGCTCTTATGAAGCGATCACAGAACTTTTGCACAGCTTAGTCTCCGGACATACCTAGCAAACCAGGACGTTTCCATATGGCTGAGAACTGCTTAGGTAATGGTTCCTTCAAACACCTCTAGATAAGAAGTTCTGGTATGTGGAAACTGACTTGCTAAAGGTGTCTTCTGTGTAACAATAAAGAGGCTTTTGCAGAGCACAAGGTCATCAGTCCATCAAAGGGTGATTCCCCTGTAGCAGCTTCTGCTGCTAATAAACCATTAAAGATGCTGGAGTGACCCAAGTACACAGGGTATCTACAAAGTCTACTAACAAATGGATAAACTATAGTGTCTCTAGCTGCGGAAGAGCTAGATAGAGTCAGGAAAGCCTCATTCCTCTCTCCTGAACCCCCAAACCACACCTGCTCAGAGTTCCATGTTTGCACCAGACACCCAAGTTCCTACCTAAGTGCTCAGGTTTTGACCATACTTAGGCCCAAAGCCAGCTTGTGGCAAACAGATCTCACCTACAATCTATAAAACTTTCCTGCCTTGGCTCGGGTGCACAACTTCTCTGGCTTCATTCTCTAAGGCCAATGAACCTGACCTGGAATTGCTTTGCTCAATATACCCGTGTTATACTTCAATTTGGCTTGATCTGGCTTATTTTGGGGGAGGAGGGCATAAAACCTATTACTACGTAGTTCCTAAAACTGTTCCAACGAACACTTTAAGACATTATTTGGACATTTCCTACAAATGCATATGAAGGTAGTTAAAGATATTTGTCCTGGGAGCTAGAGAGATGGCTTAGTGGTAAAGGGCACATGCTGCTCTTGCAGAGAACTAGAATTCAATTCCCAGCATCATGTCAGGTGGCTTACAACCACCTGTAACTCCAGCTACAATGCCCTCTTCTGGCCTCCGTGGGCACTTCATTCATTGTCATATACACATATATACACACACATACACATTTTAAAAAATGAGATCTGTGGGGAAAAAAGAGGTACTCACCCTTGGAATAATGTAGGGTAGGTAAATTTCAGGACAGACAGAACATACTGAAAAACAAATACCAGATTAATGGACATTTTGAATGAAAGAGAATTGAAAAAGCATATAAAAATATTCCTATTGAAGAAATCTGAGTATTCTTTGTAAAGGCTTTTATCCCCAACACCCCCCCCCCAAGTCACAAATGCACAAAAAGAATGGCATTCCAAGTTATACTGAAGAGACCAGCTGGGGTACATTTATATTTTTTGTTTTATTATTGTTTGTTTTTCTTGAAACAGGATCTTGTCTGTAGCCCAGCCTGGCCTAGAACTTGCTATGTAACCCAGGATCCACGTAAACCTTTGGCCTTGGCCTCCTAAGTACTGGAATTACAGGTAAATGCTACCATATACTGATTTAATTTGTTGTGTATAATTTGTTGATATAATGTATGTATGTGTGCATGTTCATATGTGTGATTGTGGGCACAGGCATAGCACATGTGTGGAGGTCAGAGGACAACCTCAGAGTGTTATTCTGCCTTCCACCTCATGTAGATAGGTCTCTTACTATTCACCTTGGCATATGCCAGGCTAACTGATCATGAACTACTTCCCTATGCTGCTTCTCGCTAAAGGAGTATAGTCACTCCTTTATAACAGGTTTTTTAGGTGGGATCTAGGAACCTTACCCGACCATCTCTCCAGCCTTTCTATTAAGTCTTTTAATCAGATTTCTAGACCTTCATAATTGAGGAATTGTATTTTGTCTTTGGAGATACCTTTTTTTTTTTTTATTATGAGCACTTTAAATTTACTTATTGTCTAAAGTCATTAAATACTTCAGGAAAGGATTCTGTTAATTCTCCACAAGACCTTTAAAAAACAAAAACAAACAAACAAACAAAAAGCAAACACAGCTAAGCAAGGCACACACCTTCAATTCTGGTGCTCATAAGGCAGAGGCATGTGGATCTCTGTAAAGTCGAGGCCAGCCTGGGCTTCCAGGCCAGCTGAAGATACATAGTGAGACCCTGTCTCAAAAGAAAGAGGAGGGTTAGGAAAAGGAAATGAGGAGAGAGAAAGGGAGGGAAAGAGGGAGGGAGGGGGGAGAAAGAAAAGAAGAACGGGTAGAATTAAATAAACAAAACAGTATATTGAGGAAGTTCACAGAAGTATCCTTCCAGCCTACCCAAAAATCCCTGAATAAACTCCTGAATGTTAGTATTATGGGTCAGTTCCTATGAATCGTTTCCACTTCCATCATTCAGTGTGTCCCAGCCTGCCTTTCCTAAAGCTTCTATTCTGAACGGGAGAAAGGATGAAGTGAGACCTGTGTATGTCCTGGAGCACCCACAATCTTAGTTATGATAGCAAATATTTACTCCATGTACTGCGTGCTGCAAACTAAGGGAGCTGCAAGATGCTGAAGCTCAGGTATGGGGGTTGGGCCAATGGCAGAGCATGTGTCTTAACATATGTGAAGCCCTGGGTTCCATCCCTAGTACCACAAAATAAACAAAATGTTGGAGCTCTAGCCTAACTTCTGTTCAAGAGGCAGAGGCAGAAGGATCTCTGAGTTTGAGGTCAGCCTGGTCTACATAGTGAAATTCCAGGTCAGCCAGGGCTACAAAGGAAAACCTTGTCTTGAAAAACCAAAAAAAAAAAAAAAAAAAAAAAAAGGAAAGAGAGAAAAGACACCTATTGGGTGTATTGAGTAGTAAAGAGGCTACCTCAGTTAGATTCCCAGCATTCACACTGATGGTTGGCACACCTTGCACTCCATCTCTAGGAGCTTCAGTGCCTCCTCAGACACCTGTGTTCACATGCATGTATCACACGCATATACATGTAACTAAAAATAAAATAAGTATTTTTAAGAAGAAATCTATTACAAATTGAATGTTAACTCTAAAAATGTCTATGAGCTAGGTGGCTAGGTGTAGTGGCACTTGACTATAATCCCAGCACTCAGGATGCAGAAGATTCCAAACCAGCCTTGATTACACAGCAGGGTCCTCTCTTGGGAGTGGGGTGGGGTGAGATGGTTCATCAAGTAAAGGCACTTACCACCAAACCTAATGACCTAAATCAATCTAACCTGACTCCTTGCAAGATGTCCTCTGACCTCCACACGTGCCCCATGCAAAGTACACCCTTGCACATACACACACTAAATAAATAAACAAACAGATAAATAGATAAACAAAGGCTCAGAAGTTAAAAACACTGGCTACTCTTCCAGAGGATCTAAACACTGGCTCACAACCATCTGTAAACTCCAGCTCTTGAGAATCTAATACCATCTGGGCTCTGCAAACACTGCAACACATGCTGTGTGACATGCCTGCAAGCAAAACAACCATACGCATAAAATAAAAAGTATTAATAATAATAGCTGAGCGAAGTGATCATAGACCTTGGGAGGCAGAGGCAGAGGCAGAAAGACCCACTAAACTCAAAGCAACTTCTGCCTTTCAAAGTTTTAAAACCTTGGACATAGTGGAAATGCTTCGAATCGGCATAAAGACTAAATTAATCAATCAGTGTGGTAAGGGTTGATAAATTAATCTTTTCCTCTGCTTCTGGAACTTTGGTTCCTGGGCAGAAGGCTGTTGGGGATGGGGCAGAATGTGTTGACTCCTTCGACTCTTCTGTGTGTGTATATATGTATTTATTTACTTGAGACAGGGTTTCAAGTATCCCAAGGTGGCCTTATACTCTTCCTGCCTCCACCTTCCAAGAGCTGGCTGTGTAAGTGCTGGGGATGGAGCCCTAGGATTTGTGCACGCAGAGCCTCATCATCCTCTTGAAAATAGCCCTCCGGTCCAAGAAACTTAGTTCCGGGCAAGTGGACTCAGTGGTTTCCTCATGGTCCCCACCCGGAACCAGCCAGCCCGGGCCAGCTTCCATGACGTGGCCCGCATGGCTCGCAGCCGCAACTGTCTGCACGCTGACCTTGTTCGTAAGGTGAGAAGCCAGGTAGCAGGTGCAAAAGGTGAGAGCTAGCAGGGACCGTCTTCTTTTCATCTATCAGGTTCTCTGCTTCTCAGGAGCAGCCACAGTCCTGAGCCCACCCAGCCGCCTCTGGCTCCTCCGGCTGCCACGAGACTCCTGTCCGCCAATCAGCAAGCAACTCGCCTAGGCTCCAGCCTCCTTAAAGGGACAGCTCCAGCTAGGTACCCTCAGCTTCGCAGCTAGCCTGAAGACATCTCAGTTGCAAGACTTGGGTCCTCTCTGGCTACAGGTGGTAGAAAATGATGGACAAGAAAGTAACCTCATTACAGAAGACATCACAGCACTCCTTTATGGTTTGAAGGAAAACAGCCATACCTATTAGTGAATGACTGGATGAAAATGCTCAAGGCTTTACAAAATTTTTCTGATTTTCTTCATTGCTTCTGTTTAACTTTGGCAAAAACACAAATTAGCCACAATTGAATTCTAAAGAAGCTAGAGAGTGTAAGCATTTCGACAGATCGGATGGGATGGACAGGAATTCTGGCACTAGGTAGCCACAGAATAATGAGTGTTACAGCTCCGAAGAAAAGGTATTCTGGCACTCAGGAGCCAAGGAATACCACAAGTCACAGTGGCCCTGTTGGTGGCCATGGCCCACAGTGGGTCATTAGGGGAGACCATTGGGCCTGGGCCTGGCCCTGACAACTACAGAAGCCCAATGACCCTGGCCCAGTCCCTGGGCCATTCAGGGAGCCCATTAGCCCTGGCCTTGACCCTGAGCAACTAGGGGAGACCAATGGCTCAGGCCCAGAACACTCAGGGAGCCCACTGGGACTGGCACTACCCAAGGCCACTTGGAAAACCCATTGGGACTGGCTCTAGCCCTGGGCCACTGGGAGAGCCCATGGAGCCTGGCCCAGGCCCTGGTCCCTGCAGGTGAGTTTGTGACCAGCCTGGTGTGCAAAGTGAGTTCCAGGGCAGCTAGGACTGTTACACAGAGAAATTGTTTCTTGAAAAATAAAAAACAAACAAATCCAACATGCTTTGGTAATCAAAGCTGTACAGCCAACACGACTAGAGTGAACATGTATATATCTAATAAAAGCTAGAATATTAAAGCATGGTAAAAGATGATACTCTTAAAGCCAATATCATCCTAAATTGAGATGAACTTGAAGCAACTCAGCAGGAGACATGCTGTTCTCCATGCCCTAAAAGTGTCCCTGTGTATTTAGGGAATACCTACACACACACACACACACACACACACACACACACACACACACACAAACACACACACACACAAAGAAAGTTTCTGTTTTTGACAACCATTCCATTCCCCCCTCAGAGGACATCTGGATGTTTGAAAGGATTTGTTTTTGTTATGTAAATAGGGGGCTCCTCAGACATAACTCTGAAATACTAACATAGAATAAAACCTGTTTCTCTTCCCTCCTGTCTGTCAGGTCTCTTGGCTTTTGTGGGGTCATGTCCCACCAACAAGCAGCTGACAGCCATCCACAATTCTAATTTCAGCAGATGCACGCCCTTCTTCTGTCTTGCAAAGGCACCAGGCTCTGGCAGGGTTCACAACCAGGCAGGTGGGTAGGCAGCCACACAGGCAGGCAGGCAGGCACGTGTATGTGTGTGGTAACAAGCATGTGTGTACATCATCCTTTATGATGGGCCAATGGCACCATTACAGTGGGGTTGGACGCAGGAGCATAAGAACCCAAATCTCTGCTTGGTATAGTGAGCAGAGGAAACTAGAGCCCTTGAATTTCCCTATTTGTAACTTTTATCTTACCGGTAGAATTACCCAGATCTTCTTCAAAATACAGGATAGGACCAAAGGCCAAGTAAAGAAAACAAACAAAGCAAAAGGAACAACAAAAACAAAACAAACAAAAAACCCATGCAATCCTAATTTGATACATTGTCCCTTCTGTGTAGTTTGGATTCAACTTTCTTTATGAAGGAAATTTTATGCAGTACTATCTTCAAAGACAAGCCAGCTGCCTCTGTGTGAGCAGTTGTGTTCCTGCTTTAGACAAATAAGCCAAAAGCTAGAGTCTGCACAGATTGAAGCCAGATAGGGCACCAGTGCGGAGAGGGGCAATGGACAGAAACCTTAAGTCCCTAATGTAAGGATTCAGGCATTATTCTGGCCTGCCCCTGTCACCTGGCGGAGTGCACTCAGGCAGTACTCTGGTCAGCCCAGGGTTCTATTAGTACTAGCCTGTAGGCAGGTGTATAGGACCCCTTTAAAAGTCAGATCCCTGCTTACTTTCTCTTTTGTAATCTCTCTCTCTCTCTCTCTCTCTTTCTCTCTCTCTCTCTCTCTCTCTCTCTCTCTCTCTCTATCTCTCTCTCTCCTGCTTTCTGTTGGCCACCAGGTAACCCCCTCTTCTTCTCTTCCCCTCCCTTCCCCTCTCTCTTCTCTTCTGTTCCGGGTGCCTCTATGTCTCTTCCCTTCTCCCTTACTTCCCTTTCTAAATAAACTCCTCATTTACGCTCTGTCTGCCTGGCATGTTATTCCCTCCCGACTTCGTCACCCTTACCTGCTATGTATGGAACCTGCTATGCTCTCCCACGTGGTCCCTTACCTTGGGACTCCACTCCCTTGGGACCTTCACCCGGGACCACCCCCACACCCCTTCTCCAGTTTTTATTCATAGAACTGTAACTAAAGAACAACTCCTAATCCAGAAGTTATCTCCACTTGATAACTACCCAAGAAGGAAATATTATTTATCTCCAACAGGAGTCTTAACTGAGTATACAAACCACACTGAAGAGCAGACCCCACCCAGGTGAATCTGGCTGGGTGGGTGGAAGGGATTGTGGGAAGGGAAACTGTGTCAGAAAACATTGTAGGGAATTAAAAAAAAAAAAAAGAAAGAAAGAAAGAAAAAAAGCGAAAAAAAAAAAAAAAGAGAGACAAATAATCCCCACTTACCCCTCCAAAAACAAAACCATAAAAAAAAAAAAAAAAAAAAAAAAAAAAAAGCCATGCTGTGGTGGCTCACACCTTTAATCCCAGTGCTCACTTGGGAGGCAGAGACAGGCAGATATCTGTGAGTTCAAGGCCAGTCTGGTCTCCAAGTGAGTTTCAGGACCAGCTCCAAAGATAAAGAGAAACCTTGTGTCAAAAAACAAAACACGTTTTTGGATCTCCTGGCCTGGAGACCCCAGGCAGACTAAACTATCCAGAGTCTACAGGCATTATGGTGCTAGTCCTGCCTCCACCGAACAGGAGAGGGAGTGTCTCAGACCCTCCTGCACTCATCCTGAGAGCCATACAAGGGTTGGACCTGCTTGCATGCAATGGAAGAGAAACTTGGACCGAAACCCACCAAGAGAGGAATAGACCCCACCTGAACTGGAAAAAGGGATGGGGAGGTGACAATATAAGAACACATTCAACAACAGAAAAACTAACATGATGCCACCAGAGTCTAAGGACTTTACACCAACTAGACCTGAACATCCCAACACAGATAAAGCAGAAGAGAATGACCTTTAAAATAACTCCATGATGATGATAGAGACCCTAAAAGAGGAAATGACAAAATCTTTAAAGAAGTAGAAGTAAAAATGAACAAAAAATTTCAAGAAATGTAGGGAAAGATAAACCAAAAATTGCAAGAAACAATTCAAACAGTGCAAGGCTTGAAAGCTAAAATAACAATAGTAAAACATCACAGTCTGAGGGAATGCTGGGAATAGAAAAGCTGGGTAAATGATCAGGAACTACAGATGCAAGCATAACCAACAGAATACAAGAGACGGAAGAGAGAATCTCAGGCACTGAAGATACAGTAGAAGAAATAGATTCATCGACCAAAGAAAATCTTAAGTCCAACAAATCCCTAACACACACACACACACACACACACACAAAAAAAAAAAAAAAAAAAAAAAAAGAAAGAAAGAAAAATTTTAAAAAATCCAGGAAATATGGGGCACCATGAAAAGGCTAAGCCTATGGATAATAGGCATAGAAGAAGGTAAAGAAACCCAACTCAAAGGTGCACAAAATATATGCAACAAAATCATAGAAGAAAACTTTTCCAACCTAAAGAAAGACATGCCTATGAAAGTACGAGAAGCTTATAGAACACCAAATAGAGTGGACCACAAGACAAAGTCCCCTTGCCACACAATAATCAAAACACCAAACTTACAGAATAAAGAAAGACTATTAAGAGCAGCAAAGTAAAAAGGCCAAGAAACATATAAAGGCAAACCTATTAGAATTACACCTGACTTCTCCATGGAAACTCTGAAGGATAGAAGGCCCTGGATAGATGCTCTACAAACACTGAGAGAGCACAGGAGAAAGCCCAGACAACTATACCAGCAAAGTTTTCAATGACTATAGATAGAGAAAACAAGATATTCCATAACAAAACCAGATTTAAACAATACTTATCAACTAATCCAGCCCTACAGAAAGTACTGGAGGAAAACTCCAACCTAAGGAAATTAACTACACTCACAAAACAACAACAACAACAAAAAAAAAAAGGCATGGTAAATCCACACACACCTCCAATAACAACAAATCCAAAACAACAATTAACAATCAACAGTCATTACTTTCCCTCAATATTAATGGACTTAACTCTCCTATAAAAAGACACAGGCTAAACAGAATGGATACAAAGACAGAATCCATCCTTCTGCTACATGCAAGAAATGCACCTCAACTTCAAAGACAGATGTTACCTCAGAGTAATGGTTTGGGAAAAGATTTTCCAATCAAATGGACCCAAAACACAAGCTAGTGTAGCTATCCTAATATCTAACAAAATAGATATCAAACTAAAAGTAATCAAAAGAGATGAAGAAGGTCATTTCATATTCATCAAGAAAAAAATCCATCAAGATGAAGTCTCAATTCTGACCATCTATGCCCCAAATACAAAGGCAGACATATTCATAAGAGAACTCAAATCACACATAAGATCTCACACATGTATAGTGGGAGACTTCAACACAATACTCTCACCACTAGAGAGGACTACCAAGCAGGAACTTAACAAAGAAGCAAAGGAACTAACAGAAGCTATGACCCAATTGGGTTT